TGAGAGATAGGTGGCGGTAATGCACTTATAAGTCTGCGATCCGCCATAAAGCAAGAAGACACGTCAGGCACCGGCTGTTGAGAACGTGCTCAGGACAGTTCGGACATTGCGGTGAAAATCAGAGGTAAAAAAACGATATAACTACTGTTCCGTTTCTTGCACAGACCGATCGTTTTGTGTCTTTACACATCAATGTATCGTCACAAGCCGCAGGGTTTAATTTGGTTTTGTTTGTGTATGTTTTTTGACTCTCAAAGCCGTGATTCCCATCCACTTGCATTATAAGACTGACAGACTGCAACGGTTTGACTTAAAAATCTTCGTTTGTGTTCTACTGAAGAAACAAAGTCACCTACATCTTGGATGCCCTGGGGGTAAGCAGATAAACATCAAATTTTCATTTTTGGGGTAACTATCCCTTTAATTTCTGCTTTTGATGCACTGCACAAAAAACTCTTACAGTTTTTCCAATCCATCTGAAATTGTTTTTTTTTTCTCCCTCATTTTAATTTATCAGTGTATCTGACATTTTAAGTGGACTTCAGGGAAGAAAGTATGACCCCTTTAAAGAAAGTTGGTGGTGGTTCTGGTCTTGTGTGTACTTTAATTCACTTGCATCAGGGATATTTTTTCCTGAAGGCTGCAGTAACAGATTCTGACCAAGTAGTTGTGCTGATGCTGCATTTTACTTCCTGCAGTTTTTGAGCTTATTTGAAAAACTATTTTAAATAATAAAGAAAATTGATTTTCTTTTAATTAACCAAAGGGAAATAACCTACATGTTTTGGTAGCCATGTCTATTATTATTCATTTTTATTCCCTGCATGCAGTGCATGTGGTTGAACATGCCTGTCTTGTGTCTCATACAGACAGCTATGACCCTGAGGCCTATAACCCAGAGTCTCCGGGACTGACCGGGCCAGGCAGAGCTCAGTACCGCCATTTTATTCCTCGCATCCAGACACAGAGACCCAATCTCATCGGCCTCACCGCTGGTGACGGACAAAGCTCACGAGGTATCAGATGTGAGAGATCAGTGCCACACAAATGACTGTTTTGCTTGTGTATTGCATGAGAGTTTTAAACTCGTTCACAATGACAGCATGTAACTGAACTCTGGTTTATTTGTGTTTTTAGCGGCTAACATAGTAATCCAGACAGAGCCATCCGTCACGAGTGTGTCGAGCGGAGAGGTGAGGTACAGCTCTGAGCAGGAGAACAGGAAGAGATGTTTGCCATCTACAGACGGACCACAGGCCAAAAAACCCTGGATGGACAAGTGAGTGATCCGAGATCAGTGTCCTCGGAGACAGACTGTAGTAAAAAAAAGGTTTTAGATCATATCAAGTATAATATTCCTCAAAAATTTGGAATAAATCCAGTTTTAATGTTTTTGAAAGAAGTCTATTGTGCTCACCAAGGCCTCATTAATTTGATAAAATATTCAGTAAAAACTGTAATATTGTGTTATTACACCTTAAAATAACTGTTTTCTGTTTTAATGTATTTTAAAATGTTATTTATTGTTATGATGGCAAAGCTACATTTTCTGCTGCCTTTAATTTAGACTTTAATATCTCAAGATCCTTCTGAAATAATTATAATATCCTGATTTATTTTTCAATTATTCAATTATTTTTGGTGCTCAAGTATTAATAAGTTCTAATTAATATAGTTTTATGAATTAAAAAAAATTGTTTTTGATATTTGATATTTTTGTGAAAACAATGATCTATTCTTTGAATAGGGAGTCCAAAAGAACAGCATTTATTTGAAATAGTATTGTGATATATATGGAGGATCATGTGACACTGAAGACTGAAGTAGTGACTGCTGAAAATTCAGTTTTGCCATCACAGGAATAGATTACATTTTAAAATATATAAAAATATACATATCTTTTAAATGTAAAAAATTCATAATTTAACTTTCTTTTTTAATCAAATAAATGCAGCCTTGCTGAGCACATGAGACTTCTTTTAAAAACATAATAAAAAAAACAAGTCCTGAATTATTTCAAACTTTTGATCTGTAGTGTGTGTTATATGTATTGTATATGTGACCTGTGCTGGCAAAATGAGTCACAATGAGCACATTTTCAAAAATGAGTTATTTTTATGTTCACATACTCCATTAAAAGAATGATGTATGATTTGTTGGAATCGGATGAAAAATGACACCCATTTGAAGTCGATAGAGTCAGCAAAGTCAGTTTAGAGAAAAATTGAGTTAAAGTTTTCTGAAGGTTCCAAAGCAAAATCACAGAGCAACGTTGCATCTTTTCCTCCACTTCTTTTCTTAATAATAATTTCTATATTAATAGTCACAATATAGCTATTTTTATTCTATCTTTGTTATTATAAATAAGAACAGATGCAAAAAAAACACAGTAGAACAAATATAAGAAACAAACAAATAATGCATTACCTTTTTCATTTTACATACAAACAAAAGCATTCATCAAATGTAAAAATCCCTTTAGTGTGTTCATTACAAATAAAATGATTATTAAAACTACAAAAGTAGTTCAGTCAAGAGCAGCGAGTGATTCCCTCTTTTATTGTTAGATTACCATTAATGAGGCGGCCTATATTAAGACCTACTGTAATGCACGGATCTAATATAATGTTACACATCAGATGTTTTTCCCCAATAGTTCCCCAAATGTTCACTTAAGACATAACAGATTATGTCTGCGTGAATACTTAAATACTGTAATTCTGTGTATATGTGTA